CAAGGTCAAGTCACTTGTCCATAGGCGCCCAGGTCAGAAGGGGCAGAGCGGAAAGGGCTCTGAACTTCACTGCCCAGCCCACCCCTGACCACCCCCAGGACAGGAGGACCAGCCAGTCCCCATCAGACCACTTCCTCGTGGGGGATTCAGGGCTCTGGGCTGAGTCCCTTGAGGTGTCCCTAACCTCCTTTCTCTACCTATTCTCTGGGCTGGGCAGCAGAGGCCCAGGGCAGAAAGTGCTGGGTGAGGGGGGAACGGGCCCCCCGCTCTGGGCTGTCCCCCCATATGTAAAATGGTGGCACTGAACAAGGTGGCCACAGGGAGCCTTTCCTGTCCTGAGAACCCAAATCAGATGCCCTCACCCAGATGGGCCCCGGTTAACCACCGTCGCCAACAACAGTAAGTCCTTCTGAAGACGTGCTGGGCACCAGGTGCGCCAGCTACCTGGGCTCCGATCCCGTCTCAGCTACGCCAGAGCTGAGTGGCCTTGGACAAGTCCTCTACCCTCTCGGCACCAGTCCCCCATCTGTGAAACGGGGTCATCACAGAAGCTCCCTCTCAGGCTGCCGTGAGGATTAGATGAAGCCAGGTCAGTAAAGGGCCCAGTACATGACAAGTGCGAAAACAATGTTGACTAAAAAAGTACTTTTCCAACAGTAGCTAGAACTCCAGCATCACCCCCTGCAGGGTGAGAGAAACCGAGGCTCGGCCCCAGGTCCAGCAGGGCTGGCAAAGCTTTGAGACCATCTCTGCCAACTCAGAGGCCTGGGCATATGGGGAAACTGAGGCCCAAAAGAACAAAGGGCTGGCCCAAAGGCCATGGCCAGCCAGTCATGCTCCATTTGCAAGTGGACCCCCAGCTCCCAGGGAGTCCCTGCCCCCGGGCCAGCCACCCTTGATCCAGTGGCTGCTTGTCTGCTTGCCCCTCCCCTGGGAACCCCACCACCTCCCCCAGCAGAGCCTGGGCAGGGGCCTGGCTTGGATCCACTCCCGGTGCTGCTGGTCCCACACTGCCAGACCCACCGATCATGTAGGAGAAACCGGGAATCTGGATTTTTATGTGAAATCTCTGGTGTTTTTTTTTATGTGAAATCTGGTTTTTTTTAAGTTTATCTTTATTGTTGAAAGTATTACAGATGTCCCTCCTTTTTTAACCCACTGACACCCTCCTCCCCGCTCCCCCCTTCACCTCACTGCAGTCTGTGTCCATTGGTTGTGCATATAAGTTCTTTGGTTTATCTCTTCCGCCCCCCCCCCGCCCCGAGGTTCGAGGTTCGTCAGTCTGTTCCCTACTTCCATGTCTCCATATCTATTTTGCTTGTCAGCTTATTTTGTTCATTAGATTCCACAAGTGAGATCATGTGATACTTGTCTTTCTCTGACTGGCTTATTTCACTTAGCATAATACTCTGTTTTATGTTTTTAAATACTGGCAACCAAGCCAACTTTTTTTATTTTTCTTTCAACTGCCGAACGGGGCAGCACATCCCTCCCTGCCCCCCACTCCCGCCTGGCCGGGGGCTGCTCCTCGAGGACTCCTGGCCCACGCCCACCACAGGGCTGTTGCCCTTGCCGTTCCCTCAGCCTGCGACTCTTTCACCCAGGTCTTTCACGACTGCACCTTTCCTCATCTCAGAGGTCCCCTCCTGCCAAGGAGCCTTCAACGACCACCCTCTGGCGGAAGCCCCCCCAGCCCCCCGAGGGCCAGTGCACAATGGAAGGCAGGGCGCCCACCGCCCATCCACCTGCAGGGCTGCCACTGAAGCCAGGAACACAGTGACTTCTCGAGCCTCTTTGGACCTTGGGAAATGGCCACAGATGTCTCCTCCAATCCCCTGCAGCAGCCCGGCTATGGCCTCGGCTTACACACCCCAGTAACAAGGAGCTCCTGCCTACCCAGTCCTCAGAATGGCCCTACTTTACAGATGGGTACACTGAGGATATGAGTGACAGCCCAGGGTCACACAGCTGCTCAGAGGTGGACCTGGGACCTAACTCCGATGAGCTGTCAGAAGCTGACAGAACGGGCCTCCTCTGTCAGGCCAAATGCTGCAGAGGGGCTGGGGGAGATGCCACCAGGGCTGCTCCCTTTGCGCCCGGGGCCACCTGGGACCTAGATGCCCGCCCCTGGGCCCGGTTTCTCCAGGGCCAGGCCACCACTGCTGAGCCCTGAGGATTCAGACTCGGGCCCCACCTCAGGGTTTCTGAAGAACAGGAGCCTTGACAGGGACCTAAACCAGCACTGAAAAAAACCCTGTGTTCTCAGCCCCAGAGTCATTACCACGGCAACCATAACGACAACACGGGGGGCTGGTAACAGCACTTCCCTGTGCCAGGCCGTCAGCAGATGTGCTTCCCAGTTAAACCATGAGCCCCACGACGTGGGAACTAGGAACAGGTCCCTTGTACAAAGGAGGAAACTGAGGCTCAGAGAGGTGACGTCACTTGCCTAAGGCCTCCGAGCTGGGAAGGGGCTGACTCATTATTCCAGCTCGGGCCCATTTGACTCTGACACCTGGCTTTCCAACATGGTTTATTTTAAGCGTGAACGTTGTTTGCAGTGAAGTTTCATAGGGAGGCCCACACTGCTGTGCAGATAAGACGCGTCTGGGCCGTTATTCGCCCTTCATGGTGTCACAGCCTCGAGACTTTAAAAGTGATGAGCAAACAGAGTTTTTATCTACACTTATATTTTTCTGACAGCTTTCCCACTGTGTTTGGAATAAAATGCTACCTCCTCACGGGAATCTCTGCCCTCACATGCTCTCCATGCCTCGTCTTCCCTCTCCGCCCCCTCAAACTGGCCTCATCTTTCCTCAAAGCATGAGGGATGCTCTGCCGTCCAGGGCTCTGCCTGCTGTTCCCTCTGCCGTCCGGGGCTCTGCCTGCTGTTCCCTCTGCCGTCCGGGGCTCTGCCTGCTGTTCCCTCTGCCGTCCGGGGCTCTGCCTGCTGTTCCCTCTGCCGTCCAGGGCTCTGCCTGCTGTTCCCTCTGCCGTCCGGGGCTCTGCCTGCTGTTCCCTCTGCCGTCCGGGGCTCTGCCTGCTGTTCCCTCTGCCGTCCGGGGCTCTGCCTGCTGTTCCCTCTGCCGTCCGGGGCTCTGCCTGCTGTTCCCTCTGCCGTCCGGGGCTCTGCCTGCTGTTCCCTCTGCCGTCCGGGGCTCTGCCTGCTGTTCCCTCTGCCGTCCGGGGCTCTGCCTGCTGTTCCCTCTGCCGTCCGGGGCTCTGCCTGCTGTTCCCTCTGCCGTCCGGGGCTCTGCCTGCTGTTCCCTCTGCCGTCCGGGGCTCTGCCTGCTGTTCCCTCTGCCTGGACACCCAGGGAGTTGAGGGGTAACTCAGGATTAAGATCTCAGTCCAAAGTCACCTTCTCAAGACTCACTTTGAAACTTCGGTAACTAGACTGTGGTGCTGATGAGGACAGACGTACAGGCCGAGGGGACAGAAGAGTCCAGAGGCACACAGGTGGACACTGGGTTCAGGATGAAAGCAGCAGACAGCACTGGGACACAGAACTGTGAGCCCCCCCCCAAGGAAACCGAGTCGAGATGGAGCGTGGTCTAAAATGGGGAGGCCAGACGACAAAGCTTCCAGAAGAGAAGACAACAAAGCTTCATGACCCCGACTAGGCCAAGATTCCTTGAACAGGTCACAAAAAGCACTAACGAAAAAGGAAAACAAATGATAAACTGGATTTCATTAAAATTAAGAACTTCTGTTCATGAGACGGTTCCATTAAAGGAGTAAAAAGGCAACAGCCCACAGAGGGGAGATGATATTTGCAACACGAAGGAAAAGTATCCAGAATTCATAAAAACTCCTACGAATCAATAGGAAGATAGACAGCTCAGTAACAAGCACTTCACAAGAGTCCCTTCCAGTGTCCAACATGTGAACAGGTGTTTCACCTGAGTCACCACACGCGTGCACGTGACACAGCACTGACGTGAGTGAGGCGCACTTCACACAAGAGGGTCCTTGACCACACCGTCCCACCATCGAATTAGGGCCCCCAGTTATCCTCCCAGAAGCCTCACTGCTCTGCCCTAGAACAGTTGTATTTATGATTCCGGGCTCGCTTGGAGGTTTGCTCCTTCCATAGCTCCCACCATGATGCCAGGTCCCCCTGGACCCAGCCTGTGCCTGTGAACGAACGAATGAGTAACTGTCAGCCTCCTGACCTAGACTGTAAGCCCTGAGGGCTCAGATCGCCTCTGCTCTGTCCCTCTCTAGAGCGAGTCTCTAGCACAGAATAGGACCACAGAGAGAAAGAAATTAACGAAAGCCACAAGGTCTCATCCACTCGGTACCCCTGCGGCAGAGATGGACCAGGTGTGCAGAACTGCAGCCTCAGCTGGACAGGGGGAGTTAAACTGGTTGCACAGGGGAAAGACAAAACTGTCAAAACCTGGAAGAAAAGAAATTCACAAAGCATGGGGGGTGCAAAGGAATTCCAGGATGGTTTTGAATCCCCCAGCAAACAGCCTCCTGTGTGTCATGGTCAGCCTGGGTCAAGGTCTCCCAGGACCTTGGACCAACCTGCCACAGCCCAGGTGACACCCACATATGGTGTCCTGCACGTTCTACAGAACCCCGGGTCCCCTCAAAACTGCGGAGGTCACCGAAACAAGAGAAGCCTGAGACACTGCCACAGCCGCGAGGCGCCTAGGAGACCTAACGACTGAATCTGATGCAAAATCCTGCGACAGAAGCGGGACATTCGGAAAAAATAGCAAAATCCAAAGACACCTCAAAGTTCAGTCCACAGTAACGACCGCTGCGGGGTCCTTGGTGACGACGGAAGCACACACCGCGGCAGGGCACCATCCGGCGCAGCTGGGAGCCCGGACAAGGCCACTGCACTGTCTTCGCAACTTGTCTGTAAACCAAATGGCTCCGAAGGAGAAGGCGGTAGTAAACGGCGTACTTCCCCGGGCACTCTGCGCCGCTGCGGAAAAGGCCCACCCTCCCGGTCGCCCGACCCACCCGCGGAGCGCCCGGCTCACCTTGGGCGGGTCGAAGAGCTCCAGCAGGCGGTCCGCGCCGTCGGGGCCGCGCGCGCGCCGCAGGGCCAGGCGCCCGCGCTGCCAGCGCGCCCCGCTGTCCATGGAGGCCTCGTCGGCCAGGCTGTAGCGCAGCGCCGCCTCCTTGAGGACCTCGGGCGGCGGCTCCCGGGCCAGGCTCCAGTGCAGGAGCTTCCTGGCCAGGCCGTGCTTGGCCCGGGCCTCCCCCGCCGCCCCAGCGGCCGGCAGCTCCCCGGCCGAGTTGCGGCGGATGATGTGGCGGAGGCTTTGGCGCAGCTGCTGCAGGGCGCAGGGCGCGGGCGGCCGCGGCGGGGCCAGTTCCTCGGAGCTGCGGGCCTTGGGCAGGGCTGGGGCGGCGGGGCCCGGGCCCGGTTCGGCGGGGGGCGCCTCGGCCTTGGCGGGGGGCACGCAGCCCGCCTCCCGGTAGTCGCGGGCCGGTGGCCCAGGCGCGCGGCCCTGGCGCACCTCGTGGCAGAAGTAGAGCTGGAACAGGTCGGTGAACTGCAGCGACACGAGCTCTGCGCGCAGCGGCGCGTGCTGCGGGTGCTCGCGGGCGAAGAGCCAGTACTGCCGGGCCAGCTCCCGCGCCGTGGCCACCGCGTGCAGCTCGCAGAACTCGCTCCAGCCCCGCGGGGCCGGGGCCGCGGGGGACGAGGCGGCGGAGGGCGTGGAGGAGGCCGAGGAGGTCTGCAGGGCGGGCCCGTTCATGGCGGAGAACGAGGTGGAGCGGCCAGGCTGAAAGACACGGTTGGGCAGGCAAGGAGTGAGCAGACAGGTGGGACCGTGCCTCTTAAAGCCACCACCAAGGACTTGTCATTCACCAGGCACAACGTCAAAAATCGAAAATTCTTCATAGCACCCAGTGTTGGTGAGGATGCAGCAAAATGGGCACTGCCCTACCAGGTGGCTGGTACCCTTAAGGGGTACTGCCTTTTTGGAGGCAATGTGGCAGGGTCAGTTTCAGACCCAGTAAATTACACTTCTAAGTGTTCAGGAGAAATATTTGCTCACATGCACAGAGAGGTATGTATAAACAATCCCCTGCTAGACACTTCCCGCCCCAACATTCATAATAGGGAAAAGGTAGATACGGCTGTTAAAAAGTTTAACTTCCATGGCTGAAGGGCTTCTTAAAAGAGGGTTTAGTAGGCAATTGCTAGCCAAGGGGGAGGCTGGTCTGGGTCATGGTCCAGCAGCGTGGCTAGGTAGGAAAGACCTGGTAATGGAGCTTTGCTAAAGTTTATATACATCAAGTGTGTGGGCGTGGGGTAGAGGTTTAACCTGCTCTGAAAGGATTTACATTAGCGATAGACAGAGGAGATGGGGGAAGCTGATACAAACTCCCCCCACCCACACCCACCAAGAAGGAGTGTTTGCCCCTGTGGGCAGCAGATTAGAAACTTCATATGTAAATTACCAGCAGAGTCTCCTGGGTTTCGATAATCACGGAAACAGCCACTTGGAAATTAATCTTAAATTTCAACAGATACACAGGAATGTGAGCACTCTCCGTCAGAGCTGGCCCACAGCTATAACTGCTGTGTCTCTTTCCCTCTCGGCCTGTGGTGCACCCGCAAACTGGAATATTCTGCAGCAGTGGGAAAGGGTGAGGAAGAAGGTCTATGCTACCACCTTGGTGAGATCTCCAAGGTGCACTATGAAGCAAACAAAGCAAACCACAGAACAGTAAAAACTGCGATCCTATTTACACACACATAAAACCAAACTGCCTATTTTTATGGGCACATAAATGTGGGCAAGAAAGGTATGGCTAGAGCGAACCCATTGGGAAACAGTGGTGACCTCTGGGGAGGAACCCAAATTGGGGTACAGGAGAGAAAGTAGCCAAGGAAGAGTGTTCCTACTGGTCTCTAGAAAACAGGGTTAAGAACACAGAGCCTGTTGGCTAGATGCCCTGTAAGCCATTGTTTCTGAGTTGCCTAGCAAGAAGTTTCCTGCCATGCCTCAGCTGGTTTGCTCAGTGGTTAGAGTGTCGGCCTGAGGACCAAAGGGTCACAGATTTGATTCCTAGTCAAGGGCACGTGTCTGGGTTGCAGTTTCAGTCCCCAGCCCCAGTCAGGTGGGAGGCGACCAGTCGATATGTCTCTCCCACATTGATGTTTCTCTCTCTCTCTCTCTCTCTCTCACTCTCTCCCTCTCTCTCTCTCTCTCCCCCCCTCCCTCCTTCCACTCTATCTAAAAATCAATGGAAAAATATCCTTGAGTGAGGATTAACCAAAAAAATTTTTTTTAATTCATAATAAAAAATTTTTAAAAAGCCACATGAATTTTCCTGCCCTGTATATCCGGCTCTTCCTCAACGACCTGTAACTTGCCCATTCTCACTTCTGAGACCTAGAACCCACCCCCCTTCTCCTCTGTCCAAAATGTCTTACACACCCAATGTTGCCTCTCTCTTTGGAATGTCATACTCATGTGAGTTTCCATGTCATGTATTCAAACCTTGATTTCCTCCTGTTTAAAAGAGAGAGAGAGTGCTCTTGGTCGGGGACTGTCCCGCTGCTAAGGCAGGAAAATGGTGGCCGCGAAGATGACGAAAAAGTCGCTGGAGTCGATCAACTCTAGGCTCCAGCTGGTTATGAAAAGTGGAGAGTACGTGCTGGGGTACCAGCAGACTCTGAGGATGAGGAGCCAAGGCAAAGGGGAACTGGTCATCCTCGCCAGCAACTGTCCAGCCTGAGGACTCTGAAAGAGAGCAGTACGCCCTGTGGCCGAGACCGGTGCCCGTCCGAGCAGCGGCGACGACAGCGAGCCGGCACCGCGAGCGGAAGACACTGCAGAGGACGCACACGGGCTAGCACCGGCCCAGGTGGTTCTGATAGCACAGAGGCATGCCAGAACGGGCTGGTGAAAAGGAAGTCATGCGAAATTTTCTGTAATAAAACTGGCCAGAGCTTAGTTTAAAAATGGCAAAAATAAATAGATAAATAAATGTACAAATAAAAGAGAGAGGGAACGTGGAGACTGGGCTCACATCCCAGCACTGCCCTTACTAGTTGTGCGACCTTGGGTGAGTTATCTGATGTCTCTCTGCCTTAGTTTCCCCATCTGTAAAATGGGGGCCTGACTGTACCTACCGCATAGGGGTGTTATGAGGATTGAGTCAATTAATGTAAAGGCCTCAGAAACCAAGAAAAGCTTAATTAGGGTTGGCTGCTTTTATGGTTTTTTAAATGTTACAGTGACTGTGTTATTATTGCCAGTAAAACTAAGTACAAGACGAATAAATTGACTAGACTCACAGGTGCAAAGTCACTTCCTGCTCTGATGAGGAATGTCGGGACAGCCGCCTCGCCCCCCATCCCAGCCCGGCTCCCTCCATTCCACCCTCCATTCCACCGCGGCTGCTTTCCTCAGGCACCAGACCAGAAGCCCCCCGCCCTCTGCTGTCCGCGGTGCTGAACCCCGAGCTCTCTAATTACCATCAGGACTGGCCTGCCTTCCCGCTAAACCAGGCTGTGCTCAGGGAATCATGGCTGCTCATTCGCCTCCCCCCAAAATGTATTCCTGAGGGCCTACTGTGTGCCAGACACTGTGCTAGGCCCTGGGGATACAGCAGTAAGCCAGATAAAAATGCGTGTTTTCCTGGGGCTACCTTACACACACACACACACACACACACACACACGTGTTGGCTATGTGGCCTCCGACACCTGATTGGAACTCTTTGAACCCTGGGTTCCTTGTCTGTCAAACAGGGAGCAGTATGGTATCGACCTCATAGGGTGGTTGTAAAGAGTCTTTGAAAAGGGGATTCAGATGTCAAATGGAGATCTGAACCCAGACATTGAGGTTCTGCCACCCCACCATCTCCAGGCCACGGTGGTGACCCTGCAGCTGATCAAAGCAGGACACCTCAGCGAGCACAGAGTAGGTGCCTCTGTCCCGCTGGGAGGGTGCTGTGCACACAGTGACATTTTCGCACATCACAGGGTCCTGGCACCCACACACATTAACTAGGCTGCTTGCACACAGTAGGTCGGCAGTAAAGCTGCCAGGCAGAGGGAAGGAAGAGGAGTCACACAGGCCTGACCACCACACTGCCAAGAACACGAGCCCTGTTGCTGGAGGGGGGGTTTCACCTGCACGTGTGGGTGACCTGGACTCCAGTTGACCTGGAAGCCCCCCCACGTCCATGCCTTGACCCAGGCGAGGCCGGCTCTAGCTTCACAGTTGGAGGAACTGGAGAGCACTCAGATTCCAGATCCCACCCAAGGATCTGCGCCCCCCCTGCCTCTGGGTGGCTGCCTGCTCAGTCTGCTTTCAGGCTCACACAAGACACGCCTTCACTGAGCTCACCAGCCAAGTAACAGCCTGAACCTGTCCTTCAGCAATGCTATCATTCAACAGCTATGATGATTTCATTAGTGACAATCTCCCCACCAAACTGAGCTCAGGAGGCCAGGCGATCCCCATTCTATCCCCAGTTCCTAGCATACAGCAGGAACTCAATAAATGCTTATTGAATGAATGAATGCAAGAGTTCAGCTGAATGTACACCCTCTGGCTCTTCAGGCTGACACATGGCAGCCAGCATCCACCAACAGGCCAACCCACCTCCTGTGAACCCTGGGCCTTTGTCTGCCTGTCCCTTTGCCTGGAACACCTGTTCCTGTCCACTCCTTCGTGTCAGTCTCAAAGTCCAACTGCAGGGCCAAACCCTAGCAGGAGCCTTCTTGGAACAGCTGTGCCCACTCCAAGCTCTGTCCCTGCCCAGGCAGGGCTGGCTGCCCTCCCCGCCATGGCCCCCATTCCAGTTTCTTTAAGAGGGACTGTACTGAGCACGTGCTATACTCCACACACCTTTTATAACTACACTCGCAAAACATTAACTTGCCCGAGCCTCAGTACAGCACTCGGAGGTGGGCCAACAACAGCTCCCACTTTACAGCTGGAGAAACTGAGGCACAGGGCGGTCCCCTGCATAGACGGCACCACCAGCATGCCCTGTGGGTGCACAGATGCACACCATGAGGAAGACTCGCTTCCTAGTGAATGTTTAGTGAAGGAATGAGATCGACCCAGAGGGGAAGTAAAGGTCTTTCAGCTCCTCTCTCCAGGTCCCAAGCCCACCAGATGGTCAGAAGAACAGCCACAGGGTGAAAATAAAGAAACAAAAACTGAAATGGTACTAGTTCACGCTGTCTAGGCGCCCTGTTCTGTGCCGAACACTTTGCATCTATTCCCTTGCTTACTCCCCATTGGAAGGGGGAGTCCCAGCATTATGCCCATGTTATAGTTGAGGAAATGGGGTGTTAGGGGAGTAGTTTGCCCAGGGCCACAGGGCCAGTGAGGGGCAGAGCTGGGACTAGAACCTGGCCTGCTCCCACCAAACAGGAATGATACTGCCTACCGTCCACCTCCCTCCACCAGGCTGTGTGCCCAACGGACTGAGAGGCCCTCCCATTCCTGCCCGCTCCCCAGGGCCTGGCCAGAGCAGGTACCCTAGAAATACTAGCAGCATGGAGGACCGAAAGGGAAGGCACTGGGACCCACCGAGGCCCTTACCCCCACCCAGATGACCTCTCCATGGTGGAGCAACAACCAAATCTGGGGTCACCTCCTCACCGGATGGGCAAGAGGGACTTCCCCCTCTGAGTCTCAGAGTCCCTCTCTGTAGTGGGCTGATGTTCTCTTCACCAGGAGCATTCTAGGGACTGCTGTCTGTGGGGTGCTTGGCACAGGGC